TCCAACTCTCTGATGCATAACTCAGATAATAGCGAAGAGAATCATTACACATACACTTTAAAACCATACTCACTTTCACAAAATACATCAGGTTTGGACCATGTATAATTAGCAAGGCAAGTTGCTTCCGCAGGCTTAGAAGGGATCCTTTCAAAACCCTGAACGCAGTCAAAACCCACGACTGTACCGGCTGGGTAGTAATTCTGAGAGACGTGAATTTTTTTGAGGGTTGCAAACGTGAGTCTCGGTATAGACCGACAGCTACCTAAAAAATGGTAACAAAAGGAACAACAAAAAATATCACCATATTTTACAATCTACAATTAATTGTTTTACCTGATCCTTAAATCAGTTTCTGTTCTATTTTATTCATATTTGGCGTTTGTGTGGGCATATTATTGCTATGGCGTCTACAGTGTATGAGACACCCATACTTCCATTGGTTACTCACTAAACATCCACGAAGTGGATTGGGGAAATAAATGTCACGATATCGATTTCTCAGATAATATGTTGTTGGTTTTATGTGCCTTTGAGTCAAAACTAATTCATAGCTGGCCCTGCAGCAGCTCTTCAGATTCTTGAAGTGTCACGGGAGGAGAACGCCTTTCCTTTTCCCAAGGAGCTGCTGGTGGATTCAAACTGCCTGCCTTTGGGTTAGCAGGGCAGTGCTTTATCAACTGGGCCAACAAAGCTCCCTTATCAGATAACACAGGTCCACTAAATGAAGGAATTATCTGGGTATACTGCCTGACATAAGGAGCTCTGGGGGGCAAGGGTGCTGTGTAGTGGTCTGCTAACTGAAATGCTTGTGGTTGAGTCTAGCAGCCACTCCATGGGAAAAGAGTTGGGGAGGTCTCCTTCTGCACAGATTTGAGCCTGAGAAACTCCTTGGGGAGGGCGAGTCACCAAGAGTGTGAATCTCCTCAATAGCAATGTTGTTTCTTTTTTGAAATGACTCGACAAGAAAACTACACTAAATCCTGAGTATCCCACAGACTACCAAAAGAACAGACAGGTTTTGGAGAAGGTACAGCCAGAGTGTCTCTTTGGTGGCAAAGAGGATAAAGCTTCCTCTCATATACTCTGGGCATATTGCTGGGAAAGGCTATTGAATAGAGAGGACAGGACATCCTGCTGGGACAGGTAGAGGGATGGTGAAAGAGAGGAATACCTTCAACCGGGTGGACGGACACACTGACTGCAGCCATGGGCTCAAGTGTGTCAGAGATTGTGAGGATGGCTCAGGATAGAACAGGGTTCAGGTCTGTTGTTTACAGGGTCAATATGGTTTGTACTCAACTTGACAGCACTTAACAACAAAAAGCAAACCTACAGTACCATAGAGAGATAAGAAACATTTCTAGACCCAAACAAAATATCCAGCATGACAAAAAGAATTGTAATAATAAGTCATTTTTTATTGAATACATTAAACTCATTTATTCCCCACCACAACTTAATGTGGACAAAAATCAAGATCAATATAACTCATTGCCGTGGCATCTAGCCCGACTCACGGCAACCTCTCCATCTTCCATCCATCCGGTCTCCATGGCTGTGAATCTCAGAAGGAGGTGATGGCTTCACCTTTCTCTGGCAGCGCTGTAGGTGGGTTTGAACGGCTGACCTTTTAGTTTGTATCCCAGCCCTTCACCAAATACATACACTATGAAAGTTCCTTTAGGTTGAAGAGTGTCTTTAAAAGTGTTCAGAAACTCTAAAAAACCTGACCAAAGGTGAATTTAGAAAGGCATGGTATGGTGACAAGGGACCTGGATTTGTAATCCAAAGACCCAAGTTTTGAGCCCTGAATTCCCTATAAAGGAGCTGCTTCTACTAATGAAGTTATTAAAAAAGAAACTTAAAGTCTATCTCCTCTACTTAAAATAGGGACATAGAAGTTCTTGATTAACTCCTGGGGTCTTTGGGGGATTAAATGAAGTAATATATGTTTAACTACAAAACTTGGTACATAACTAAAGACTTACATACTTCACGCTACTGCCTTCTAGCATAGGTTTTGTTTTGTGTGTTCTTTTAAGGCCAAGAAAATATTAAAGACTATTTCACATCTCATTTAAAGAAATACTCTGGCTGAAGCGATTTCATGCTGTTCAGAGGCAGGGATCAAGTCTGCACCTTTACTTATATGTATCAGTGCTAATATCTTTGTTGTTGATTTCCGTCAAGTTGAGCACGACTCATAGCCACCCTATGAACAAAAGGCCTGATGCCTTCGTTTCCAGAGGCATACGGAATGCCAAAAGAACAAAGCAATCTCTTAGCTGGAGTGCGGCCAGAATTCAACATGGAATTGAGAATGGTGAGGCTGAGTCCTACGCACTTCGGGCACATTATCTGTGGGGTCAGCCAGTCCCTGGAGAAAGACAGTCAAGCTTATTCAAGCAAAGGGTCAGGGAAAGAGAAGAAGACCCTCAACAATATGAATTGATACAAGTGGCTACAATAGTGAATTCAAAGACAGAAGTGAGTGTGAGGAAGGCACAAGATCAAGGAGTGTGTCACTGAGTTGTATACTGGGTAGCTATGAGTGGAAGCAGGTTTGACAGCACCTAACAACAACACCGGAGAGCTGTGCAGAAAATAATAGGTTTTTCTCCATACGACCCAGTTATTCCACTACTAGGAATATACTAGAATATACCAAATATACCAAAAGGATATACCAATGAAACTTTGGAATATACCAAAGAAACTAGAAGTGAGACACAAATGGAGATTGGTACATCAATGTTCGTAGCAGCATTATTCACCATCACAAGAATGTGGAAACAGCTCAAATGTCCATCCACAACTGAGTGGATTGAGAAAGTGCGCTCCATTCACACAATGGAACATTATGCAGCACTTGGGAGCAATGATTTCACAAAATACCACATAACTTAGGAGAGACTGGAGAGCATTATGCTTAGCGAACAAAACCAGTCTCATAAGAAGAAATACTCCATAAGACCATTATTATTCCATAAGAAGTATAACTTGTAAAAAACAAATGGGAAACCAAGGGGAAAAGGGATGGGACTGAGGATTAGGATGGGTCTGGGCGGAACCATACATTTGTACAGTTGGTGGATGAAAAAAAGGTGGAAAGGAAATGGGAAGCATCTGGGTAAAAAGATAGGGTCATAAGGTCCAATGGTGATTAATTTCATAAAACATAATGCATGATAATTATTATACGAGACATAATATGAATTAAGTATACTGTGAAACACAATGTATATGCACTTTGTAAGCAAACAGATAAAAACATTAATAAGGTTTTTTTTTTTGCATAAATATAGACAGCTTTTTTAAAAATGCCACTAAAGAATTGCGTTTGGTAAGTTTTACACTGCAAAATGAAATTTCAGAAAACAGACCATGTGTCTCAAGGTAATTGTCATACGTATTCATATATAATTTATTTCCTAAAAAACACCTATTGTTTACTTTTTCTATTAACCTGTTCAAGAGGTACACTGTTAGGGGTAAAGCTCTTAAGAAGCAGGAGCTACCCAGGGAAGTAATGCCTTTAATGAACTGGAGTGTGAAATGCTAACACGGGCACCCTTGGGCTTAATAAGACATCAAACTATCAATTACCAGTCCCTCTGAAGAGGTATAAAAATAAACTTGACAAGCTATACCTATTCCCATACCTTTTAAAGAGAAATAAAGAACTTACGACCACAGAAGTTTGGATCTATTTGTAGCCATGTATTGTCACTGAGACATACAATGGAGTTTGATCTTTTTGGAATTTTGAGGTAGCCTTGATTGCATATGTAATACACGACCTTGTAAACAGGAAAAGTTGTAGCACCTTTAGAAACTGGTGTCGCATTAGGCATATCTGGGGGTGGGCTGCAGTTACCTAGAGGGGTAAAAATTCAACTGAAAGAAATAGCACTTCTCAGTTCACACCAACACTCTCTTCCCAAATGAATGAATGACGTTGCTATGGATTTTGATGTACACAGAGCATGTCTACCCAGGGCTGAAAGGTACACACCACCACCAACTTGATAGACTTCCTGTCTTGTCAACTGATTCAAGACTCAAATTAACTAAGGGCAAACAAATCCCTCCCCTTCCAGTATTTAAAAAAGAGAAAAGGTGGCAGGACAGGATTTACCAATTGTCAGCGTAGATATGTTGTTAGAGTCGCAGAAAGATAGCAGCTCCTTGGAAAAAGTAGCAGAAACAACACGCATGGTCGCAGTACCAAGCGTTGCTCTGAGTTTAATCAAATATTTGGCCCCTCAACGTTAAAAAGGAGAGCTCCTTTGGGATTTGAGAAGAATTCTTTTGGCGCCCTCCCTTTCGACTCTCACATGTGCTTCCCCAACCCGTCAAGTGTCTCCTAAAGCTATGTTTGCAGACCTGGCCCAGGCCAGTCTCCAGGAGCTATCTTGCAGCGGAAATTCGCTTCCTGGACCCCAGGGATCACGCCATCAGAAACCCTGAGCCTTAAAGGTAGAGGATTGTGGGGAATAATTAAAAACAAAACAAAAAACAAAACAAACAAATAAGAAAACCTGAACAAAAGCAAAAAACAAAACACTAAGTCTAGCACCAGAGTAGCTGGTCGAATCCAGCTGGTGGATTCAAACCATGAACCTTGGGGATTACAGTGTAGCTTCTTGCAGCTAAGCCGCCAAAGCTCCCCTTGCTGAGTGGGTTCTAAATGAAGGGACTGATAGGTTTAAACCGCCAAGCTTTTGGGTAGCAGCGGGATGCTCTCACCACACCACCACTCAGGCTCTCCTAGGAAAGCCAACTATAGCTGATGTCCAAATACTTCATCACCCCAAGTGCGCAGAACCTCTCTGTGGCCATGGAAACTTAACCAACCCGTCCCTTCCTGTCTGAGGGTGAACCAAGGAGGCTGGTTCGGAGCCCCCAACTCACTGCGCACAGCCGACGTGTTCAACAGCAACAGCAGCAGGAGCAGCTCCCCACAGAAGCGCAGCACTGCAGGGGCGCTCAGCAACATGGGGCTCATTGCCCGCCCAGAGAGGGATGCAGTCTGGGACTCAGAAGCATCTGCAGCAACAAGTGGGCTGGAACAAGCCCAGGTAAGCCGCTGAGCCAGGGTTAACTCTGGTCTTGGGCGGGGCTGAGTTTCAGTCACTAACTGGGTGGGGCAAAGAAGACTGTTGCGCAAACACACGTGAGGCTGGATGAGGATGGTGGCTTTGCCAGTTGATTTGGCCTGGTTGGGGCCCAAGATTTGAGAAGTGGGATTCTCTGCGGGAGGGGAAGAGCAGTCAGGGGCTGGACGCTGTGAATGGACGCTGTGACTCCAGGTCCACAGTCCCGCGCTGCTACTGTGCAGCTGCAACAAGCTGGCCCAGCTAAAAATGTAAATACCTTCTAATTAAACATTAACACCAGGGGAGCATAGAGGAGGAGAGTGGTCCCAGTGGTGCAGACTTGGATTTACTGAAATCTGAATTAACTTCAATTGACTTTAGGGTGCTTGAGCACTGTGTAAGTGTATGATCAGCCTGGTGCATATGCAGTGGAAGAAGGAAGGGAGGGGAACAAACTACACAACAAATCAAACAAAAACTCCACCCAGTTGTCATGGAAATAAATTTTGCTGCTTAGTAACCTCATGCATATCAAAGTAGAAGGGTCCTTTAGAAGATTCTCAATGGCTACCTTTTTGAAGTAGATTGCCAAATAGGCTTTTCTTCCAGGCTTCCAGTAGGTGGTTTCAAACCTCCAAACACTGAGCTTTTTATCTTATTGAAGAGCCCAGGGATGTTCCCTCAAGAAGAACAGTGTCCACTCAGGAACTTGAACCTTCACTACGTCATGGGTCAACACAAGGATAAGGAAAAAGGACTTCCTGCAGATCGCTCTATACAAAAAGGAATCAGGGTGAGATTTTCGAAAACAAAAATGAAAGGAAATGTTGCATTGGGGAAAATCTACAGTCAAAGACCTCTCTAAAGTGCTGAAAAACAAAGATGTCAGTTTAAGGATGACAAAGGTGTATACTTGATTCAAGCCATGGTGTTTTAAATTACTTCCTATGGTACCACGTACTGCCAAGAGAACAAACAGATCTATCTTGGTGAGGGTGAAACCAAGGTGCTCTCTGGAGGCAAAGATTTTGAAGCTCCGTCTCACATAATTTGAGCATTTGGCCAAGAGGAACCAATCTTTGGAGGAGGACATCATGCTTGGAAGAGTGGAAGGACTACACAGGAGAGAAAGACCCTGGATGAAATGAGTTGACACAGTGACTAGGGAAATAGGGACAGCATGTCAGAGACGGTGAGATTGGATCTGAATTCAACAGGGTTCAGAGCTATTGTGCATAGGGTCAGTATGAGTTGCTGGGGACTGGACAGTACATAGCAACAACAATAACAACATGCTTGTGAAAGTTGGACAATTAATGGAGATAACAGGGGGGGAAAGCACAAAACATTTTTAAAGTAAGCCCAGTTTGCATATACACAGTCTACATATGCTTACAAGCCTAAGAATCTATGACCATTTACTTTTTCAACATTCAATACACTGACCAAGGTTGTGTCAAAATTGTACCATTTCTCCATACTTCTCCAATTGCTATGCTGAATGAATAATTCTAGAAGCTGGATTTAATGAAGAACAATGTGCCAATAAGATTGAAAGCAGACTCATCAACAACTTGCATTATGCAGATGACACAATCATGTTTGCAAAAGTAAAGAAGACATGAAGTACTTCCTGCAGAAGATCAAAGAATACAGCCTTCAGTGAGGATTATATCTCAAGGGAAGACAAAAATTCTTACCAATAGACAGTAGGTCATATTGTGATAGATGGATAAAGACTTAAATAGTGAATTATTTCATTCTTCTTGGATCCACAATTGATATCCAGGATAAGTGCCACCAAGATACCAAAAGAAGCATTGCACTGGCACAATTTGCTGTTAAGCACTTCTCCAAAGAACTTAAAATTCAAGGATGCTAGTTTAAAGACGAAAGTGAATCTGATCCAAGCCATGGCCTTTTCCCTTATTATGGATCTGAAAAGTTGGGCAATGAATCAATAAGTATGACAGAAGAAAAAGAAAAATATATCTTTCTATTGTGTTAGTGGTGAAGGCCTATCTTGGAGGAAGTCAAATATGTTGCTCCTTAGAGGCAAGAATAGTGACAATTTACCTCATATAATTTGGGCATGTTGTCAGGAAGAGGTCCTTGGAAAAGGACATCATGCTGGAAATGGTGGAGGGTCAGTGTGTTTTGTTGTTGTTGTTATGTGCCGTCGAGTCGCCTGTGACTCATAGTGACCCTGAGGGTCAGTGTAAGAGAGGAAAACCTTCTACAGGTGGACCACCGACATGGTGACTGTAACAATGGGCTCAAGTGTATCAGAGATGATGAGGATGGCTCAGACAAGGTTCACATCTATTCATCCAACTACTATGGGTTGTAGGTGGCTCAGTGGCACTAACAACAACAATACAGTCTGAACAGAGCTGCCGTTATCATTGTGTTGTGTGGGATCGCTTGATGTGGCTTTTCTAGTCATTGTCTTAGTTACTCTCACCTGATAGCTGATTAGGAGTGCCAATGTGAGGTGTTTATCTGTGGTCCACAAAGGCGGTTAGAAAGCTTGCTCAAAATATGAAGAAAGTAAATTGTACCTTTGAATGGGATAATGTAAGTAAGATATTTGGGCTGAGCAATTTTTCCATCTTTCCAAGCTTAAACAGAGGCAGAAAACAAGACATATTCCTACAATCAAGAAAGAGATCCAGATAGTCCTTTGCACTTAAGATCCCTGGCTGAAATCGGGTACAGAGACAGTACAAGATGGGTAGCACAGCAGCCCGGTGACCATAGTGGAGGTAGCAGTGATAGTGGCAGCAGAGGTGGTGAAGAACCAAAGAATAGTGTCAGATGGTGCTGTGGAATCCTGGCTCCTGGGATGAGCAAGAAAATGAGAAAGAATAGTTGCTGGCTGAGAGAGCACCTGGAGGCCTTTGCTGGCGGGAACTAGCTGTTGATAAAGCCATGTGCCATCAGACTGGGGCTTACTGACAGTTTAAGGGTGACACCTAATTGGTAGAGCTAATGAAGCTTTGTGACATTTGCCTGAGCAGAACACAGAGGTCATGACCACAAGACCAAGGGTGAGAGAGCTGGCCTACAAGCACAGCGAAGTAGAGGGAATTCTGATTGAAGGTTTATATACTGAATGTTCCTGACTCTAGTGGCAATCTGTTCCTTCCTTGATAAACTCCATCAATGTGAATATTGTCTGTGAATTCTATGTGGCCATTGCAATGGATTATCAAACTCAGCAGAGAAGTAATATTCCTAAGAAGAACAGTGCATGATAGAATTGTGAGCATAGTGTGGAGTATGGTGGTGTGGCTTTTGTGCTGTTGGTAGAGAGTCTCCCTCCTTGGAAACTTAATATTGTCCCTCCATGCCTATCATACTGACTTTTGCATACCTAATTACTACATTTCATTATGAAGAGCAGTTTATTTCCTTCAAAGATCTTTCTCTCTCATGACTTGTCTAGAATCTTACTTATATTTCACAAGTAGTCAGGAAATCAACAGACAAATTGCAATGGGAAAATCTGCTCTCAGGGAACTCTCCAGAATACTGAGAGTTAATGATATCAGTCTAGAGACTAAGGTGCACGCGATCTAGGCCATGGTCTTCACAATTACTTGCTATGCATCAGAGAGCTAGACAATGACTAACGATAGCAAAAGAAGAGTTTTTGCCTTTGAGTTGTGGAGCTGGAGAAGAGTCTTGAACATACCATAAACCACCAAGAAAACAAATAGGTCTGTCTTGGAGAAGGTGAAACCAAATTTCTCCTTGGAGGCTAGGATTTTGAAACTTCATCTCACATACATTGGGCACGTGGCCAGAAGTGATTGGTCCTTGGAGAAGGACATCATGCTTAGAAGGCTGGAGGGACAGTGCCTGAGAGGAAGACCCTGGATAAGGGGGATTGGTAGAGTAACTGGAGCAATGGAGGTAGATGTGTCAGAGTCAGTGAGACTAGCTCAGGATAGGGAAAAGATCAGATTTGTTGGACATAGGGTTGCTAATTATAGGGGACTTGAGAGAACATAACAACAACAATTACAATCAAGAGAGCTTTGGTGGTCTAGTGGTTAGGGAGTGTCACTGACAACGCAAAGCTACTAGATGCTCTGGGAGAGAGAGATTGGAAAACATCCTACTGTATAATGTTCATATTCTGAGAGCCCCTGGAGGATCAGCTATGAGTTGGCTCCAACTTAGCAGCAATAAATTTGAATTACAACTGAGCTTGGAATTACATATTTTTCTCTTTACTTTCTATTTTAACTTAAAGATGTAATTTCTGTTTTTCTTGATGTTTGTGTTACTGGTATTCCATTTACACTCAGTGATAGATGGGGATGATTTATAAGAAAGGAACATTAGTTAAAAAAGTATTCCTAAGGCTTCTTTTCTCTTTAGTCTTGTCTTGAGGGAAATCCTTCGTCATGGGGTGGGGTAGAAGGAAGCAGGGATGGTGACACTGTGAATTACTGCTCTGGGTGACACCAACTGACATCACCACAAACAAGACTCATTCCATATTTGGGTGGAAATCCTTTCATTGCCCAGTTTTTCTTTTTTTGTTATGTTATTAGGAGTTGTCAACTCAAGTGTGAGTCATAGGGACCCTATGAACCCTGTCTTTTCGTGTGCCAGTCTCACGATCTCTGACACACTCAAGCCCATGATTGCAGCTACTATGTCAATCCATCGTGCTAGCCCAGGGCCTTGACCCACTTATTTCCCAACTCCACCCTCCACCAGGATACCCCTTCACTTCTACCAAATCCCTTCAGAATTTATCTTCTATTGTCTGACCCATGAGAAGCTTTCTTGGCTTCTGTGATTCTGAGCATATCAACTGCTGACAATTTTTTTATGCTGTGTTCAGTGTCTCTTAAGTTTAGTTGTACTGTCTTCGAAGGGAAGGTTATGTGTCCTGTAGAACTCCTGTATAGATTCTATTTTTCTTCTTGGCTCTGCCTTGGGACTTTTGTACCTGTGGAGGTGGCAAAAGCTTTTACTGAAAGTTGCTTTCCTATTGTCTGGCCCCCGATTCTGCCCCCGTGGCTTCCAAGTTCTCTGGCGGCGTGTCCCTGTCTCCCCTCTGTGCCTCTCCATGGATTTTGGCTCCGCCTTGGGGCTTTGTACCTGTAGGCATGTCAGAAGCTATTGTCACCAGTCGCTTCTCTATTGCCTAGCCTCGACTTCCGACTTCTACTTCCAGGGCGGCATGTCCCTCAGTCTCCCCGACCAATTTTGGCCGCAAAGTAAAATATCGAAGGAAAAATTATAATCTAGGCGAGGCTTCTACTAACCAGACCTTATATATTCATACAATTTTTAAGGGAAATAAATTCTTGGGGTTATTCACCAGGAAGATGAGTGTTGGCTTTTTCATCAATGTCCTTCAGTGCGTTTCTGCTGGATCATTGCTCTGACTAAAAAAAACAAAACAAAACAAAAAACCGAAATCCACTGCTGTTGAGTGGATTCTCATAGTGACCCTACAGGTGCTCTATGGTGTGTTTAAGGTTATGATCTTTACAGAGGCAGACTGTAAAGATCTCTTTCCCATGAAACAGTTGACAAGGTCAAACTGTTGACCTTTGACCAGGAAACGAGTGAGTAAACACTGCACCACCAACACTCCTTAACTCTGATCCAAACCCCAAGTCCAACACTCCAAACCAAACCTACACCAGCGAGTGGATTCCAATTCATGACAGACCTCCACCAGATTTCAGAAGGCTACTTATTTTTGCAAAGGGAGACTACCTTTGCTTTCTCTCATGAATTTTAACTACCAGATTTACGGTTAGT